TTTATTGACTCCAATCAATCTTAGGTTACTCTTCTTTGCATCATCTAGCAGCTGTTGGATTAACTTTTCATGGTCCCTTGCTATTTTAAGAAACTTTTCTTTTCATGAATGTTAACTGTAGGAGATTAGATAATGAGGAACAAGTCCTAATTGACTTTTTCTGCAGGCACAAAGGAGATAAACAACAAGCTGTGATTTGGCAACATGCAGGCATGCACGTATATTGCAAATTCCAGAGAAGAGTCAACACAGCTAATATCTGGTTGTTTACCTGTATACAGTAGATAACAGGAGGCAGATGAGTTTTCTCCTACCCTAACTGCTTGCTCCTGAGTCTAATAAATAAAAACAAGGTGTCCCAAATGCTCAGGACACTTTGTCCACTAGAGCAAAAGCTCCCTGGCCCCTCTTTTAGTTTTATTTCTTTGTATTATCTTTAATCCCCCCACCCTGTTTGGGACTGGTTTCTACAACTAATTGCAATCCTGTTTTCTATATCTGATATTCTTCCCTAACACTGGTTTATTCTGCTGTCTATATTTTCAATGGAAATTTTAATCTGAACATCTGTTTGAATCTGTTTCAGGGATTCCAACTTTTTCTTATGTTGGATATTCATAGTTTGTGTCATTTTCCTAAGATTCTCTTAATTTTTTTATTTTTTTAATCTGTATCTGCTCTAGAATCATTAGCCATGTTTTGCACTATGGTCATCATCTCTGTAGTTGTCTCAGAAATTATCTGCTTCATTACTTCCTCTGTTAACACTTCAGAGAGTCCAGGTGTTTGGCAGCTTTCGATTTGTCCCGCTTCATTGGCCCCTGGGTTTCCCTTGGTGAACTGGAAGCCTGGGGTTGCATCTTGCTTCTGTATCTTTTCATTTTCTATTTTTTTAGTTTAATTTTTTGGGATGATTTTAAGTGGTTTATGGCTGGTAGTTTTATTGCTAGTTTTTAGAACCCTTAGGAAATGACTACTTGCTGGCTTTTGAGTCTGTTGCAAGATCTTACCTCTTTAATTTGTTTGGTATGAGAAGTTGCTGCTTACTTGGCCTAGCCTTTGGTTCTTTTTTTTTTTTTTTTTTTTTTTTTGTCTTTTTCATTTTTATCGGTACCAGGGATCGAACTCACGACCGCCTGCTAGCAAGACAGGTGCTTATGCCGCTGAGCTAAATCCCCAGCCCCTAGCCTTTGGTTCTTTGGCATTGGCCTATAGTACTACGTCTGACTCTTAGGCAACAACTTGGTTTCAGGTAGAATCAAACTAACATTATCTTCTTAAAATTTAACATCTATTTAACAGTGGCTAATTCATCAAAAATGGATTGAGAAAGAATACCAGAGGGAGCTGGAATAAGCTCTCAGGAGGACTGTTCCTCACACCTGTAGAGTAGCAGGAGATGATATAAGTGAGGCCCACCTGTTGTGTTTTAAATACTTAAAAATTATTTAAAAAGTCAATAAAATATATTATCCTTCTATTTTTTGACAAGTATACCTCATAACAACCCAAATGTTCAATTGCAAGTGTAGGAAATTTCCATGCCAGAGGTTGAAGGGACAGAGAAGGCCTAAACTCTAGGCCCTTCCTTTACTCAGCTTCTTTATGCACCCATTCCCATTGTCCAAGGCCCAATTCCCTCACTCATGTTTAACCATATCCTCTTACCAGTGGCACCAGTGTGCCACCTGCCAATTGCTAGAGAAGTACCAGACAGATGTACTGGAAGTTATCTTGGGCTTTTGAGCAAAAATTACTCATTCTGGAGAGGGAGTGTTTGTCCCCAACTTGCCATTCATATATTGAAATGTGGCTATGTTTATAGATTTTGGAGATGAGACATCTACTGAAGTAATTAAGGCTAAATTAAGCCATAAAAGGAGGGCCTGCTCTGATTGACTTAGAGTCCTTTTAATAATATCAAAGCTTTCTTCCCTCATCCTTCCAGTGCACATGTACCACAGAATGATCATGTGAGGGCATAGTAAGACAGAGATCACATGCAAACCACAGAGACAGTTCTCATTTGAAACTGACTATACTGGCACCCTGCTTGTAGATTTACAGACTCCAAAATGGTGACGAAGCATAATTCTGTTACTAAATTGACCAATGTGTTTTATTTTGTTGTGGCAGCTCAAGCACCCTATGCAGGACATTAGGGTTGGCTTCTGCTAAGGAAAGCCAACCAGAAAAATTTAGCATCTATGCAAAAGAATGGATACTAGGGCTAGGACCTCCTTAGTTCCAAGAATGGCCTTTCTCCTCTAAAGTGCTCAGGATGAAGTAGAGAAAGTTTGAATTTCATTTATACTTGGTTGAAGCTGAGGACTGTAAGAATTAAAACAAGAACTAAATGGCAGTGTGCCACAGTATAGTCATGAATTACTCCACTAGAAATTATCTTAGAAGTTATCTACCAAAAACCCTGTGGAGATTATCAGTCTAATTCTTCTAGAAATATGGTACATGGATCCAAAATAAAAGAGAAAGAAAGATCTGCAGTTGAGGAGCTCTGGGATAATCCAATGTTCTCTGTGGAACACAAGGTGATGCAATAATCCAAAAGTTTACAGCTTTTATTGATATCAATCAGGGAGATGGGTGGGGGCCACAGCAGAGTGCTCAGAAAAAGAAACTTTGTAGGTATTGGCTGTAAAGAGAAACAGAGCAATTTTATACCAGGCACAAAGACCTCCAATTAGCAATGTAATGGATAGTTCAATGGATGCAAGTCTGGCACCTTTACTCCTAGGAAGGTATAATTCTTATTGAGTCCTAAGGCCTTAGCTGAGATGTTATCTCATATCTTGACCCTGGAATTTCACAGATTTCTGCTTGAGCTCCCTTTCCAGCCATCAGCAGAGGGGCTATTCTTACCTGTGTGTTGCTGCTTTGCTATTTTTGAGACTCATTAGTCCTTGGCCAGACTTGGTCATATTCCTTGGCCAGTTATGGGAACCTCTGTTTCAAAATAGCCAGCTTTGGGCTGGAGATTTAGCTCAGTGGCATAAGCGCCTGCTTTGCAAGCAGGCAGTCGTGAGTTCAGTCCCTGGTACCGATAAAAAGGAAAAAGACAAAAAAAAAAAAAAGCCAGCTTCGCATATCTCAGTGAATGGAGTTGAAGGGGAGGTCAGGCAAAGACAAAGGCAAGGAGTTTCATTCCTCAGGAGACTGTAGCTTTTTTGGCTCCCACAGTCATCTAGTCCTTATTTTATATTTGGAGAATCCAAGGTCCAGACACTTCCAAGGTGACACAGAATGTTATTGAGATCCTGATTCTCTAAAATTTTAGACATATGCCCCTTTTTTAGGTTATAAAAGCTTCCTTACTCATGGATTAATTTTCAAATGCCTAATTTTAATAGGAGAAGGTCTTTGGACTTTGTGTGAGGATTCTTGACCCTTTTCAAACCAGGGCTACTTATGTTTGCTTTTCTGGGTTGAGGAAGAGATAGCATTTGATTAAAAATCATACATAACTGCTAGTATAATTTTTGTTTATCTTAACATTTGTTAACTAAAGAAAAAGTGCATAATTAAGCTTTGGGAGGATAAGGATTTGGGTATTCACAGACTGTTATTTACTCTAACCAGACAAACATGATTAACAGGGCAATATATTCTTTTGAGGTTCAAGTGTAGTGCTTGTTTACATAAAAGTCTATTCAGGTCATATGAAGGAAGTAGGTTTCAAATGGGGAAAACCCAGCCAGGCTAAAGTTAAATAATGAGTCTCAGATCCAAGTACATTCCTGAGGTCCTAGAGGAGTGAGGGGAGAGGGGTCAGTCAGGACCTCAGGAGATTCCAGTGTAAAGGAGTAGGATTAGCTGCTACTTCTGTGGTTTTGTGTGCCCACTGTCCTTCCTTTAATGATAGGAAACTTATCCCACTGATGATAATGACAATCCTTCCAGGCAGGGAGAAGTCTAATTATGAAAACAATTTTCATTTATCTAGGGCATTTATGTTTTCAAATACTCTTACATACTCAAATACATTCGAATTAATTTACTGTGGATTTTTCTTATTCTTTTTTGAGAAGTGACAATATTAAAATTTCAACAGATCAAATGATTGGAGAGATTAAATGATCAAGTCATAAACTAGGCTTCTCTTTGGCTTTTTTTCTTTTAAATGGACACGGACCCCTTCAATTAGGGTTAGTCTTTTTTTTTTTTTTTTTTTTTTTTTTTTTGCGGTACTGGGGATGAACTCACAACCTCGTGGAATTAGTTTTCTTGTTAGGGATTTGTTGGCTCCTTTCACATATAAGAATATTAACCTCATGCATGGCATAAATACATAGTTTAAAATTAACTTTTAATCTTTATGTTTTTTGCTGTATAAAAGCTTAAAATTTCAGTATGATCAAATATATTTTATGACACCTCTATTACTTTTGCTTAGAAATTGTCTCCTATGTTACTTTATAATGCACCATTTGTAACTAAATTTTTATATTCAACATTCTAAGATCTGTTTTTGAGATTTCCTGTTTGTATCACCACACTGTTTTAATTATTCTAGCTTTATACTGTTTGAATACCACTAATCTTTCTCTTTCAAGCATTTCTTAGAAATTCTTGAATGTTTATATTTTCAGTTTATTTTTAACATCATTATGTCAAGTTCCTACACATACAAATATTTTAAGTTAGATTTAGATTAAACCTATAAATTAATTCTGTTTTGGGAACACAGGATATTTCATTTATTACAATTTTACTTTTAAAGTTTTACAAATTTGCTGTTGTTTTCATGTAGGCCTACCCATTTCCTGATGCAATTATTTCTAGCATGTGAAATATTTTTGTATTATAGGTGGATTTGTTTCTTTTAATTATATTGCATAATATTGCTGGTATATGGAACATTTACAGATTTATGGATACTTCATGTTTAACAACTGAAGAACTTTCTCTGGACTGCTAAAAGTTTTGTAGTTGAGTAACATTAAACTTTTCAAATAATTAGATTTCTTATTTCTGTTTCTTAGGTATTATCAATTGTCAAACATGTGTAAAAAAATGCAACATCTAAAGCAATCTTTGTTTCCTGTTCTCTCCACTTCTGCAATCAAGAGAAGGCTAACAGACGGTGACACTGTGGGAGGGCTGGAGTCAGGTTGGTATCTGACAGGGAATGGCAGAAAGAAGATGCCTCAGGGCTGTGGGCAGCATGGTTTCTGTAGCCTTGGGTGCTGGCCAGGAGTTGTCCAAAGAGCTGAGGACTGAGCTCCCAATTTGTGGTGGTCAGTGATCATCTACCTTGCCTCTGGTTTCCATTCCCTTTGCTTCAGCCCTGCTCTTTTCTCTTCTTCTTCCTCTGTGGGTGACATGTCAGTGGCCACAGCCTCGGTAGTAGGGAGAGAGAAGCTGGTAGCATGGTGCTAGGTTAAGTAGGAGCTTATTCATCTCGGCCAAGATCAGACCTTGGCTCACTAGCAAGGAACTCTAATACATCTGACTTGATGTAATTTCCCTTTCTTTTCATCCTCTGCTCCTACTTTTCTCTGAGCCCCCAGAACCTCTCACTGTGACTCTTGCAACTAAAAAAAGAAAAGAAAATGAGAAAACACTTAAATAAGATGCAACTCCAGACATCCAGTTCGCCAAAGTTAAATCCAGCAGGCAATGAAGTGGGACAATTCCAAAGCCTTCCACTTGGTCTCCCACTGAAGTGGTAACAATGAAGCAATTGAATGAGGCTCCTGAAAAATTCAAATGAGAAATAGTCTCTCAGGTAACTGCAGAGATGTTGTCCAAAATAAAGGCCATGCTTAGTGATGCTGGAGCAGATAAGATAAGACACTGATTCTTGCAATAGCTTCCTCAATGGCTCATCTCCAATCAGTTCTTTTCTCAGGGTAATATTTTAAAAACCAAAATCAGAATGCTTTCCCTTTTTAAAAACCCTTTAGTGACTTTCCATAGCATTTAGAATAAAAACACAAACTCCTTAATATGGCCCTGTATGATCCTTTCCTGTCCTTGTAGCATTTTGTACCATTTTTCTTCTCCCCATTCTTTGTGCCTCCACTTCTTTGCTTTCTTTTTTGTGACTAGAACACACCCAAAATCATTTCCACCTTTGCACTTTCTATCTCTTTTATCCTAGCTGCTTGGCACATATGCTTCATTATTCAAATTTTATATCTATTATACATATCCCTACCCCTCCTGCTCTCAGAACACCTTGTTTGTCATCTATTGAGAGCTAACTAGGTACTGAATATGGCATTTGGCATTTACTATAGTCTGTAATGATCTCATTTGTTTGTTCTCCCTTATTTAGTACCTTTGTTACCTAGAATATGAATTCTATGACAATAGGAAATCTCACCTTGTTTGCTTCTGAATCCCTGCAATCTAGACTGGTGGCACAAAAAAGATACTTGAAAAATGTTGTTTTATCTGAGGCTCCTTCCAAAAACCGAAATCTGTCCCAAAGCTGGTGTGTGTCTTGAGAAGTGATTCCATACCAGGGGAGTGAGGTCAGAAGAGTAAAACAGTAAAGGTGGGAAAGCCAATACCGATGTTCTGCTTTCACCACTCAAGGCAGGGGATTTGGTGATAGGCAACTACTGTGAGCCAGTTATCTCAGAACTGAGCATTCAAGGGAAAGAAAAGAGTAGTGACCCACTGGAATCTGTGCCAACTTTGGTCTAGGACTCACATCTCACATTTAGTATCTTTGGAACTCACTATGTAATTAGCAAGATAGCTGTACAAAATTATATTACAGGTCCTTCCTCAAAAAGTATTAAGAATTTCAGAATAAAGATGGCACAAACTAAAACTGAGCCCAAACACTGCATGGGCCTCGGGCCCTTGCCTTTGGTGCTCCAGCTGTGTGCATGTGTGCCAGGCAGGTTCCTGCAGACATCTCACTGGATGTCAGGGTCATAGAAACTCCAGGGGTCATGCACTACAGGATGTGGATAAAAAAAGGTGCTGCCACCTTCCACATATAGGAAACAGAGCTTAGTAGAGGCTAGAGAAGAAAGTGGACTGAGGGGATGTTAGGCAAAAGTGCAAAATGAGTTCAGAGCTACTGCTGCTTATTGAAAGCTGCATGAATTCTGGAAATGTTAAGTAGTAATTTTGAAAGAAATCATTCATGTATTTTTGATTATGTTAATGACTATAACTCTTACCTATTAATGATGGTTTGGCTATTGGTTTATTATTTGAGAATTCATTATTATTTTTATTTTTAATGGTCATTTACTATCACTTCAAAAAGATCCTCTTTGGAAACATTCAATAGATGTTGTCTTACCGGTAAAAAAGTAAGTCATTAATTTTTGGTTACAAGACAGGATACATGATAAATTATATTTATATGCAATGATCAGATACAAAGTAAAAATATAGTATTTTATGTATATTTAAAAAATTTACATTTATATATAGTTATATACAGTTTATATACAAAGTTAATTCTCTGTATTAAATCTTACACTTACAGAATTTCTATATTCCCATTTTTATAGCTATATTATCAGATTTGCTTAAAACTGTAGTACTATAGGTATATGTTCTTTTTATTGTTTTAAATGAGGTTATATTTCTTATATGAGCTTCACTAACTCAGTAAGTTGTTCCAAGTATGATTTAGTTAAGACAATTGATTTTAGATCCAGGAAAAGAAGTTCTGTTTCTCTATTTTGTGCACAAGGCAGACATGGCTAATTGACTGTGACATTTTTTTCCCTCTCTGTGCTTTGAAGTAGCTTTATAACTTTCCTCGCAGTAAGGCTGCATAAAACCACTAGTTATTGAGAGATATTAACAAGCTGATACCTACTGAGGGCTAACTAGGTACTGAATATTTTATCAAGGATTACTTCAGAATTTAATTCCAACCATGAAGAAGTACATCTTCTTGTTTGCATTGGACACCAAGACACTCTTTCCACTTGGGTGGTGTCACCTACTCACCTACTCAGCACCTCTGCCCAATAGTCTGGTTAATCACTCAAAGGAAAAAGGAGCTCATTTTCCTCCACAATATTTGACAAAACCCCAAATGTCAACCTTCCATTCATCATTCCACTAAAAGAACTGTGTATATGTAATGAAAGCTGGATGCAGGGGGCACTTACTAGGTATCTATGCCAGCAATGCGCTGCTAACATTAGACATTCAGGCCATTTAAGAGTAACAGAACCCTACTGACAGAATATGTGAACCATCTTTAATTTTTCTCTTTCATTTATATACTTGTCAAGAAGTAAATAGTTTCATCAGAGTTTAAAAAGTTTACTTATTCATTTTTTTACTTATTCTTTCAATGATTTTAAGTTGGGTAGGGGACCAGTGTTGGTTTCTGGGGATACACTGTCATAGTTTATGTCAGTGGCCCTAAGCCTCATGGAATTATGGATGGGATCAAATCTAGCATTTATGATTGGTTCATTGTCTAGTGTTTGGGTTGGTGGAGTGAATGTTTCACCCACCCAGGGTTGGGGGGAGCCAGGATATAGTGTAACAGTGGGAAGGTGTGTCTCTCTCTCTTGCCAATTTCCACCTTACTGTTTGCAGCTGCCATGAACTGCGGCCCCGCCATGCCACCTTGCCTTGGAGCCAACTGAGTATGGACTGAAACCTCTAAGAACTGTAAGAAATAAACCTTTCCTTCCCTAACTTGGTCATCAAGTATTTTGTCTCACAAAATAAAATGAGTAAAAAGTAACTAAGACATGCGCATAGATATCAAGATCCTGGCTAAAAAGCATTCAGCTTCATGGAGTATAAATTTAGTATATGGCTGGATATGATGGCACATGCCTGCAATCCCAGAACTCGGGAGGATCACTCCAAGTTTAAGACCAGTTTGTACTGCGAAGTGACTTCAAGGCCAGCTTGAACTGCACAGTGAAACCTTGTCTCAAAATAAATAAATACAGTATAATGAGTTATGGTGATAACAAAGAAGCTGGAGCTTTACACTAAGAAGGCTAAGAACAGAAGATGGTCTTTGAACTGAGTATAGGTGAATGAAAGGGGCTCACTAAGTAGGACACAATACTCTAGCCCGGGATAAAATTGCATACAATGGCTTGGATGTTTAAACATTCTATATGGTGGCTGAGATCAAGTCCACCCTGAAATGCATAGTGAGACTTCTTCTCAAAAGAAAAAAATTCTAAATGGCATATTTGAGCTATTACCAAAGATTTAGTAAAACTAACCATTATAATAAGTTCTCTTAGAGTGAAGTGTATCATGATGAACTCAGAGTAATCTGCTACAAATGAAGCTGTTGTAGTAACAAAAAATCAACATATAATATTGAAGTAAAATTAGAGGAAAAATAATTTACTGCTAACAAACTATCTGGTTTCAGGCAATGCTTTAGGTGTTAGTAGTCTCTTCTATAGAATGGAGAGGTCAGGGTAGAATTTATTCTTTATCCTTTCTATCAAAACATCTTGGGAGCAATGATGATCTTAAGGACTCACTCTCAAAATGGAGAAAAGAAAATCAGCAGGTATTTACTGAATCCAACTCTAGTGAGCTTATACGTAAAGAAAAGAAATGAGGTTAAGTATATATTAATATAAACTTGATAGAACTATTAAGTGATACTAAGATGAGAGTTTGGACCTTTAAATTCTCATGACTGAGGGAGATCTGGGATTCTAATCGTTGGGGAAAAGTATGAGTCTAAATTGTGCTGTTAGAAAAGGAGCTGCCAGATTTATACAAATAAATCAGAAAAAGAGTCTGACCGAACTCTTTCAATATGTTTTTCCTAAAAAACAAAAGTGGTCATTCCTGAAACTCTGATAAGAAAGGTTCTGGTGGGCAGGTCAGCCAAGGTCCAGCCAGAAGCCTTTCACTTAACATTGTCACTGCTTGGCCAGAAGGAAGAGAAGTACTTTTAGATTCTAATTTAATCTAAGCTATAACATGCTGAAAAAGGAGTCAGATTTTTTCTAGAAAGAAACAGTTGTTATCCATAAAAAATTCAACATAGCTATTGCTGCTATAAAAAAATCATGTAGGAAAAAAATTCACATTTGATAAATGTCATATATTGTATGAATAAAGAAAATATACCTTCAAGTGACCACATAGGTAAAATAAATTTGATTGACCAAAACTGTATTTGGAGGTGAATTTTCTGAGGACAATGGGGGACAATTTGAGGATTATCTCATCCGTTTTAATAACTCTCCATGAAGCTGGGAGATGGTGGCATTTTTGCGCCTGTAATTCCCGTACTTGGGAAGCTGAGTTAGGAGGATGGCTGGGCTATGTAGTAAGATTCTGTCTCAAAAACCAAAGGAAGGTTCATAGAGTTACACACTGTTCATAGAGTGTGTAACAGGCACTGTAATGTATGCCAAGTAGATTGTGGAGGACAAGACAGACTCATTCCTTGTCCTCCCTGAGTTTAGAGGTTAGTGGGGGAAGGCTCAGAGTGACTAAAAAAAAAAAAATGCCATAATAAATATTTCATTGATGCTTTAAAGGCAAATGACAACTTCCCATGAGAGACAAAGCCTAAGGGAATCTCATTTACAGCCAGCCATCCGCCAAATAGCTACTTTTTTTGTGATTAACGGACTCATTCAGCTGTCAACCAGAGATTTCCTAGTATCATTTTCAGAGTAAAATAGTTGTGAAAGCATCCAAACAACTTAAATATGGTATAACAATGGGGCAGCCCTGAGAATTTTTAAATCTGTACGCTTGACAGGTTAGTCAAAAACTGTTTTCACTCTCAGTACCCTTAACCACATAAAAAAACAATGCAATTCATAAGTTTTTGGGGGATTGTTGGCCCCCTCAGATCTAGAAAAAGTTCTTTGAAACCTTCCAAATACAATGTACTATAGACGTCAAAACCTACTCTTCTACTTCTGCAAAATCCCTAGAAACTTACGGTCACAGTCACTTCACGCTCTGAACATCTGCTTTTGCAAATGGGTTTATATTGTGAAACATGTTGCCCTTTTGTAAATGTGGTTTCTGTTCCACATGTTAACCCAGATGTCGAACTATACCTTCTTTTGATTGCCACAGAACTCTAATAGGATAGAATTTTCGCAGCATATTTGAGAGGAGATGGGGTGAAGAAGTTTATACTTGTTAGGATATAATTGCCATAACAAACAAGCCCTACTACGTAAGTTAACAGTATAGTAAGACTCTGACTTATGAGCATTCAAGTTTGGAATGTTCATGGATAGGACAGGATGTTGTGCTTGGTTTTTTTATGCTTTACATTGTATATTTGTGTCAAAGTTACATAAGACTCACTTTGTCTTACGAACTAATCGAACTTAAAACATTTTCTCAGAATGGAACTCATTTGTAAGTTGGGGACTTACTGCATCAAGATTATTTCTTGTACCATGTCAGTTGGGGTTAGAAGAAGCCTGATTCTTATAGTTATTTGTAGGCCAAGAGTCCTGGCCTCCTCCATTTGCTCCTTTGTCACCAGCCTGCTGGAGAAGGGAGAGTGTTAAAATGATGTAGGAATGATAGAAGTAGGGAAATGACTATGCCTAACTACAGTGGAATTTGAGAAATTTATTCAAGTTTTGAGGCCAGAAAGAAAAAAATGTTTTATAACTTATCTCTACCATAGAATTTATTCTGTAACAACACAAGCAACATGAAATTTAATATTACATCTCCTAGTTTTCAGATTCCTTGGCCTTCTCACTAGGAATTTTTAATATGATCATCAGACTCATGCCTATGCTTCTATTTTTTTCTTTCTTTCTTTTTCCCTCTTCCCAGATGCTAACATTCTTGTCAATTTTTTCTACCAGTGTTCTGAATTCTTTCTCATTGCCTTGCTTCTCACACGGTCTGGAGCATTTCACTGACCACTTAAATGTCTTATCAGAGAACAAAGACAGTATTTTGGTGGGGAATTTCTTCCCAAAACATCAACTCTGAGGCCTACATGACACATACATCTGTGTTTCTGAAATCGACAACATTGTATTTTTGGAATTCGGAGGCCCTATGACTGAAAATACTTGAAGTCTCAAAATAAAAATAATCTCTTAGCACAAAACAGTCCCCGAGGGACCAGTTTGTGCTTTTATCTTTGTTTTGGGAAATTTTCCTTTTGACTCCCTTACTCTAATATTGCGGCCTGAATCTTCTTAATATGACAGTTGTGGTGTGCACACACGTTTGCTACATTAGTTCTTTCCTTTTTCTTGGTGAAACTGAAATATGAGTCCTCCAACCCTATTCCCAGGGAGTGGAACAAAAGCCAGAGAGGATGAGGGTATTGGTAGTCTCAGTTCTTGAATCAACTTACCCCCATCCTTTCTGGTCATATGAGCCAAGAGGTATCTTTCTCTAAGCCAGTTCATAATACTGTGAGTCACCTACCACTCAAAGAATTGATTCACATGATAAACATCAACATTCCTAAAGAGTCATTATTTACTATTGTTAAATTTGTGCAAATCCCCCACCATTAAAACAACACTTTATTTTAAATCATAGATATGCATTATTAAGTAGAGTATCTGGCTATGATCTGGGTCACTGGGGTAGTACAGAAACCTTCTCACCTAGCAGCATTTGAGTAGGCAAGTTGGAGGTCCACTGGCACTATTTCAAGCTTGAGAAAGTGTTCAGTTACTTTTTTCTCTTGTGCATTTCTCTGGAGAGAGGAACTTTTGCTAGGAACCTGTGAAATGACAAGCTTCTTCTGCACTTAGTTGTTGGATGTATTTGGGGGTGTGGGGCAAGAGAGACAAGGGTATGGAGCAAACAACATCTGCAGTTTGCTGAATCATCCATCTGGCATTGGTAGAACTTGCCCAACTTGCTTCCTGAAGGTTTTGATAATATTTATAAATAATTTACAGCACAAAGTCTTCAAGAGAGGCTTGTAGAAAGGCTGCTATTTTAAGCTGTTGAGAACAAGCTGCAAGCCCTCAGCTACTCCCCCACCTACCCCAAAAAAGTGCCAGCTTTGAGTGGAAAGGAAACACTCAAGCTCCATTTCCTTTATGGCACATGCAACTAAAAAAAAAAAAAAAAAAAAAAAAAAACCCAAAGTGAACAGAAAGTCTCAGAGAAGGAGTTGTAGCTATTGTTTGCAAAGTGCTGAGGAAGCAAAGTATTAGTATTAACAGAAATCATTTTGAGAGTACAGCAAGCAAAGAGAATTGCAAATTAGAAAACACAGTGGATGAAAAATGTCAAACAGGTCCTCCTTGACTTCAGACAGAGATGTTTGTTTTGTTTTCTGTTTTCTGCAGGTGAAACTGTCTTTATCTTGTAATGTAAACATTGCCAACTTGTTTCCTTTCTTCTTATACCCTGGGATTTCTATTTGAGTTTTAGCCACAATGTTTTGAAACTGGATGATTTGTGTTGTTTTGAAACTGGATGATCAGCCAGAGCAGGGTACACCTCTTTTTCTTTTTTCTTTTTTTTAAAGTGAGATTGTTTACAAGGTTACATTCATAGTTAATGAGGCTGATTATATCCATAAAATCTACACATTATTTTCATGTTTTCCATAGCTGTAAATCTTTACAAATAAAAGGGCCCAGTATTCTACCGCTCTCTTGTCTAGTATGCTTTTGATTCACTTGGGATCCTAGCCAAAGATACTTGCTTTCTTTTCTGTAAAATAGGCATCGAATTCTATGAAAATAACCGAAATAAATACATTGAAGTTGGTTAGGATCACCAGATTTATCATGTAAAACTGCCAGGAGTCTTTGTTTTGATTTAGAGTTAATCTTAAAAATCAGTTGTCTTCACCCATCTATCCCCTTAAAGAAAACGACGTCTGTGTTAAACTGATTAAGATTAGTCAAGAGACAAGGAATAACTCATTTTTCAACAAAGTTCTGAAGTCACTGCACTTGGTGGTGATTTCAGTTTGACAAACACTAAAACGAAAGCATTGTGCAACCCAGGGCGTGTGATCTGTGAACTGTAATGCGATACTCAAGTACTACACTACAGCACAGCTCAACTTTGTACATCAAGTTTGTGGGGACTATCCAAATGCTGTGAGAATAACCAGAGAAATAGTAAGGCTAGTGGACATGTTCCAAGTGTCCAAAGTGTAACCTGACTGACTTATGGAATAACTATTGTCCAATGGTATCTATATATTGGTTCCCCAAATAAGTTACTCATCCAGAAATACACGTTTAATATTATAAAAAATTGTTATATTTAATTAAAATTTAAATTAGTAATGTTTACTGTTTTTGCAGTCAAGTTCCATGTTAACAAAT